TTTCTTTTTGCTTATGTGGTGCTGAGGAATCAAACCCAGGGCCTCATGCATGCAAGGCAAGCGCTCTACCACTGAGCCACCTTCCCAGCCCCATTATGATGTTTAATTATGTATTTTCCTCTTCGAGAATAAGAATAGTGCTTGATCATTAGAGTTTGGAATTTGCTCCAGAAAAGAGAAAAGAGAGAAGAGAGAGAGAGAGAGTGAGAGTGTGGGTGTGAGTGTGTGGGTGTGTGTGTGTGGGTGGGTAGGTGGGTATGGGTGTGTGGTGTGTGTACTTTTTTTGTTGGTCATGAGGCTTGAACTCTGGGCCTGGGTGGTGTCCCTGAGCTCTTCAGCTCAAGGCTAGCACTCTACCATTTGAGCCACAGTGTTACTTCTGGTTTTCAGGTAGTTTATTGCAGATAAGACTCTCACAGATTTTCCTGCCCAGACTGGCTTTGAACTCAGCCTCCTGAATAGCTAGGATTATAAGCCTGAGCCACTGGCTTAGGGCTATATATATTTTTTGCCAGTCCTGGAGCTTGAACTCAGGGCTTGACACTGTCCCTGAGCTTCTTTTGCTCAAGGCTAGTGATAGCACCACTTTTGGCCTTTTCTATTCATGTGGTACTGAGGAGTTGAATCCAGGATTTCATGCCTGTTAGGCAAGCACTCTACCGCTAAATCATATTCCTAGCCCAATATGTAACTTAAAAACAAAGTGCCTCCCTGAACAGGGTTTTTTTGTTCTCTGTTCACCATACTTCATTACTACAAGTTTTAGATTTTCTCAGGCTATTTGATAGGTCTTAGGAACAGGTGATGTAATAAGCATATTACATGAACCAAGGTTGTATTAAAACTTGCTAAATGATGTTTTCTTAGACTTTACGTTCAATAGGTATAGAATGTCTGCTATATTTGTTTTCTTAGATGTATATATACATATATGCTTTACAAATGAGCATGGTTTCTGTTGGTAGATTAACGTCCTTCATAAACCACCATATGAGCATCCAAAAGACTTGAAGCTCAGTGATGGTCGATTACGTGTAGGATATGTGAGTTCTGACTTTGGGAATCATCCTACTTCTCACCTCATGCAGTCTATTCCAGGCATGCACAATCCGGATAAATTTGAGGTAAGACTAATGTTTCTCTAGAATCATTATTTTTTAAACAAATGCTGAGCATGGTGGTTCATACCTATAATCCCTGTACTAGGGAGTCTAAAGCAGGTGGATTGCAAGCTTGAGGCCAGCCTGAGCTACATAGTAAGTTCCAGGCCTACTTGGGCTGGCAAGACCATGTCTCAAAGACAAAAATAACCTACGGCAGTGGCTTAACTGATTCCTTAGGTGTTAAACTAAGAGTCTTTGGAACTATTGGAACCAAGATTAATAAGTATATTTTATACTACCTTTCAGGTATTTTGTTATGCCCTGAGCCCAGATGATGGTACAAACTTTAGAGTGAAGGTGATGGCAGAAGCCAATCATTTCATTGACCTTTCTCAGGTAGGTGAAGCTGTGTGTGTAGGGGGATGGGGGTGGGGCATGAGTGTAGGTGTGGCTTAGGGCTTGAATTCAAGGTCTGTCCCTGAACTTCTTTTGATAAAGGCTAGTGAGATATGGAAGGTCACAGGTCATGTTTTGGAAGGTCTCAGGTCAGGTCATGGAAGGTCACAGGTTAGATCATGGAAGGTCACAGGTCAGGTCATGGTAGGTCACAGGTCAGGTTATATAAGTAGGTCATGTTTTGGAAGGTCAAGGGTCAGGTGATAGAAGGTCAGAGGTCAGGTGATCCAGATACCAGGTGACAGAAGGCCAGAGTTCATGTGATAGAAGGTCAGAGGTCAGTGATGGAAGGTCAGAGGTCAGGTGATGGAAGGTCACAGGTCATGTGATGGAGGTCAGAGGTCAGGTGATGGAAGGTCAGAGGTGAGATATGTGTGTGTGCATGTCTCCATAGCTACTCACGGTCTCACGCTCGCTCCTCCATGTCCAGACCCTGCGTGGGCTCCGTGGGCTTCGGCCCAGGCCGGGGGGCGGGGGGTGGGCCTTGACACTACCATTCCCTCCCCTAGGAGGGGGGCCTTGACACTACCATTCCCTCCCCTGGGAGGGGTGGGCCTTGACACCACCATTCCCCCGCCTGGGGGGGGGGCTTGACACTACCCTTCCCTCCCCTGGGTTGGGGGCCTTGATACTACCATTCCCTCCCCTAGGAGGGGGGGCCTTGACAAACTACCATTCCCTCCCCTGGGGTGGGGGGGGCCATAGTGCCAATTCTAGTTTTCTGGTACTTAACTGGGGATAAGAGTCTCATGAGTTTCCTGCTCAGACTGGATTTGAACCATAATTCTCAGATCTCAGCCTGCTGAGTAGCTAAGATTACAGGCGTGAGCTGCACAGGTGCCTGGTATAGTCTATATTTTTGGTACTAAGTATTAAACATGAATTGCTATATGCAAGGGGGTTTAGGGTGGTTTTATTTTCTTGTTCATTTACGTTTATATTGTCATGGCTTTTGCTGAAGTTGCAAATAAAACATAAATGTAATATATTTGTGCTTAGATGTATAACTGCCAGACATTGAACCAGCACTTTTTCCCCCTTTTTGATCTGAATTGTGTGTGTGTGTGTGTGTGTGTATGTATATATGTATGTATGTATGTATGTATGCGTCTGTATCAGTTTTTGGGCTTGAACTCAGGATCTGAGTGCTGTCCCTGAGCTGCTTTATTTGTTTGTTTTTGGCGGTTATAGGCTGGGATTTTGTCCCTGAGCTTTTTTTGCTCAAGGCTAGCACTCTACTTTTGGGCTACAAGTCTACTTCTAGTTTTTGAGTAGTTAATTGGAGATAAGAGTCTCATGGGTACTTTTCTGCTTGGATTGGCTTTGAACCATAATCCTCAAATCTCAGCCTCCTGAGTAGCTAGGATTACAAGTGTGGGTCCCTGAGCTTTTTTTTTTTTTTTTTTGCTCAAGGGTAGCACTCTACCAGTTGAGCCACAGCTATACTTCTGTTTTTCCGGGGTGGGGTGTAGGGAGGCTTGGTAAGGGGTTGCTAGTTTACTAGAGGATAGAGTCTCAAGGACTTTCATGCCAGAGCTGGTTTCAAACCGCAATTCTCAGATCTTGGTCTGTCTCTTTTTGTTTTCAAGTCTCTCTTTTTGTTTTAAAAACAGAGGGGTTACAGTTATATAAGTCAGGTAAAGAGTGCATTTCTTTGTGGACAATGTAACAGTTTCCTTTACTCTCCCTGTTAGTTTTTCCCTCTTGTCCCTACCCACAAGTTGTATAGTTCATTTTTAACAGTGTCTGGTGAGTACTACTGTTGCATTTGTTTATTACCCTCTGTTGCATTTGTTTATTACCCTGTGTTCCTCCTCTTACTCTCCCAAAGACATAAATGAACAAAGATAAAAAGAAAACAAAACCAGCAACAAAGATAAAGCTTCTTGTTTCCATTTCCTGGAGTTCATATAGATAAATATTATTTTATATGATCAGATGCACATAGGCATTGCACCTTTGTGCTCTTCTCCTAAGAGTATCCTCCTTTAGTCTCACTCCATGTGAATGTCTAGAATCCTGTATAATTTATCATGTCCTTGTGTATTTTAAGATCTCGGTCTTTTAAGGTACTTAAACTTGATTTAAGGTTAACTTGAACATGAACTTAAGGTGCTAGATCTGAAGTGGTGCTGTGGATCAAGTGGTAGAGCGCTAGCCTTGAGCTGAAGAGCTGAGCTGAGGGACAGTGCCCAGGCCCAGAGTTCAGGCCCATGACCGATAAAATACAACAACAACAAAACAAAAGGTGCTAGCTTTGAACTTGTATTTGCTAGGCAGGTGCTAGTCTTGAGTGCTAGTCTTGAGTCAGTACTTCTGTTAGAAAAAATAATACTATTAGATGAATAAATTAACAAAATAAAGAATAAACAAGCCATTTAAAGAAAAAAATGTAGTATGATTTTTTTTAAGACATTTGTCTTTGCTTGTCTTCTGTACTTGGCTCTGTTCCTTTTTTTTTAACTTATCTTCTATACTTGGCTCTACTTTTTCCTCTAAGTGCAATTTTATGGTAAATTAAGGTTGAAATCTGTGTGGGAATTAAATTTGCTGAGTTTATATGTCTAATTTTATAGGCTTTATTGGTCACTTTGGTGACTAATAAAGATAATATGCAGTATAAATAGATGAGTGACATATTTGCATACATATATATACATATAGATGAGTGACATAGTATAGACAGCTGACACATTTATACATACATATCTGTACACATGGATGTATTTATGTTTGTGTGTATGCACTGAAGTCCTAGCAGAAACGTTGTAAGACTCTTGTAACATAGTATGCACCGGTGGTAGCTCATGCATATAGTCTTAGATACTCAGAATGCCTGAGATCTGAAGATCATGGTTTGAAGCCAGCCCAGGCAGGAAAGTCTGTGAGACTCATCTCCAATTAATCACAAAAAAGTGGGAAGTGGTGCTGTGGCTCAAGTGGTAGAGTTCTAGCCTTGAGCAAAAGGAGCTCAGGGACAGCGCCCAGGCCTAAAGTTCAAGCCCCAGGACCAAAAAGAAAAAAATATAGTATGCACTAACATGTTTTGCATCATAGCAATTGCTTCAGGAGTACACTTGTCCATATTTTTCTTTGTGTTTAATTTGTGGCTTGGTTTGATTTCTTTAAGACAGAACCTTAATATGTACCCTAGGGTGGACTTGTGCTCATAATTTTCCTGTTTCAATCTTCTAAGTACTTGGTTTATAGGTAGGCAACCCCTCACCTACCTCTGTCCATTAAAAAATTTTTTTTTCATTTATCATTTCTATTTTGCTTTCTGGCCGCTTGAAAAATATAATTAACTGTATAATGAGGTTAACAATTACAAGTGCCAGTGGCTGGGAAGGTGGCTCAGTGGTAGAGCGCTTGCCTTGCATGCATGAGGCCCTGGGTTTGATTCCTCAGCACCACATAAGCAAAAAGAAAAAAGCCG